TTAATAAAATTAAGACTATCTCATAGGGATCTAATCTGCAAAAAAATTATCTATCTTCCATCATCTATGTCCAAAAATATATGTGGCTAGCAGCCTAACTCCGCGATAATCTAACTCCAAAATACAAATGGATAGCCTTCAAGATTGTCACTCCCCTTGGTTTCCCTCATCTCTAGCCTCGCTACCTAAAATGGTGGACAAGGAAAAACTATGTGAAATAACTCAATAAGTATAACACTACAAACAAAATGACCTATACTAACGAAGCTCTATACCAACGGATGGAAGTCCGTCTGTATAGGCCTATGTATACCAACGGAAAACTTAAATGGTCAGTATATATTAATCTATACCAACGGAAAAATATATCCATTAGTATAAGGTTGATTTATACCAACGGTTTATATTTATCCATATGTATAGAGTATATCTATTCTAACAATAATTATTATCCATTTGTATAAATATATCTATACAGACGGATTACTGATCCGTGTGTATAATTCCTATTCCTTAGGCACTTTATTTTCCTTTGCCACTGTCTTTCATTTTTACTTCCCTCCAAGGATTCCCCATTTTCCCTCTCTAATTTTCGAGCTTCCTTCCACAAATCTCCAAAATTCATTTGAACCCATTCGAACTCAAAAACCCAAAATTTAATTAGACGTTTGGCCGTCTAGAAAACCACCAAAAGAAGACTCAAAGCTCTTGTTTGATCCCGCTCCTTGTACTTTCCTTTACCCACAGAAAAAAGCCATGGTCGGAGGTCAATTTTGGCTTGTGCGACCCAACGATGGAGATCAAAGAAGGCAAATCGAAGGGTTGTGAGGGTAGGATCAGACATAGGTTTAGCGCATCCTCTTACCCCCTATAAATACGTTGTTAACAAGGAGATCAAAAACAATTTTTTTAATTTGTAGATCGGAAAAAAAAAATGAAGTTCTTGGTTTACCCTGATTTTAGCTTGGAGAAAAAAACAGAGATTTCATGGATAATTCTGATTCTCAGGTGTGTATTGATCTTATTTCTTGTTTGGTTTTCGAGAAAACGAAGGAAAAGAAATATATATATAATTCTGGTTATTATAGCGATCGCTTTTAGTATTCTTACTCTGGTTGTTGACCCAATATTGTTTTTCTTGTTGTAGATTTCGGGTGATTTAAGCTCCATCCCTTCTGGTCAGTATTTGTTTTTACTCAAATTATCTTGATTTTGTGTTAGGGTTAATTGG